CCCCCATCCCTTTGATAACGAAATCTGGACCCACCTCGGCCTCGTTTCCACTCGAGGCGCCGGACGTCTGGGCATCGCCGGGGGCAGGAAACGCTCTCCTGACGTCGGGGTTCAGGCACATCTGCGGTGCCCAGAACTTGCCCGCGAGCAGCCTGTGCACGTGCGCGGGCGCCGGCCAGCCGCTCGGGACGCCGGCGCGCTCCAGCCTGGTCGGCGGGAAGAGGCGAGGCTGCTCCTCTTTTGGATGCTGGCAGGGCTGCTTGCATGGAGGGCGGAGGGTGGAGGGAGGGCCGCGCTGGGCGAAAGGGGGGAAAGCAAAGGGGGGGTTCGAGAATCAGCTCACGTGGCTGACTTTCCCGGCGCCTCTCGGCGCCGGAGGCGGCCATGCATCGAGGAATGGGCCCCTCGGTGGGGCTGAAGCCAGCTGCATGCAGCAAGTTCCGTTTCCCCCCCTTTCCCAATCCCCCCCTTTCGCCCGGCCCGATTCTTAGAGCCCAAAAATGTTCTAAGAACAAGATTAATGTTCTTAGAACGTTCAACCGATGTGTGTAACCAAGACAGTCCATATCAGAAATGTCCCAAGAACATTTCGCGGGAGCCGCACAAGGCTCCATATCAGAAATGTCCCTATCCCCCCCTGTCGTCCGGCCCGAGAGGGGGAGAAGAGGAGGGCGACGAGGCCCGAGAGGAGACTGGACCTCCGGCACGTCGGCACTCGGTTGAACGTCTCCTCGGCCCAGCGCTGCTCGGAAAGGCTTCGGGGGGGGGGGGGGGGGCAGATGCCATGCAGGTAAACATGCCTGCGTCTGATGTACAACGCCCTCCAGGAAAGGAAGAGGTGTTGGAAGGAAACCAGATCAGGGACTCCTGGAGCAGTCCCCAAGGACCAACTCTTCATCCGGAACCGTTGTTCTGGCCCTGGGATCCTGGAATCTCGACTTTTTTGAGCCGGGCGTCTTCGCCTGGTTTCCGGCCCTGGGACCATCACAAATCGATCCGGCTCGAAAAATGGCGCGGAAAATGGGGTTACAGGGATGGGCTATGGCTGCAATGTTTGTGGATGCGCCACTTTTTGCGCGACGTCGGATCTCAGAAGAACGGCCCTTGGAAGGCCCCCGCGAACACCCCGCGAGCCCGAAACTGGTGAACAATCACAGGGCCCGTTTCCGTTAGGACCCGCCTGCTTCGGGGGAGCAAGAGATGCTGATACGCACTCCAAGGACTCTCCTAGGGCGCGTTCTGACCAGGATTTCGAAGCGAGGTCCCGCCCGTGGCTACGAGAGCCTCACAGCAAGCCCCAAAAACGCCAAAAGAGGATGGTCGATACATCGGTATTTCCTCCTGTCTGAGTTCATGGCTGCCTCTGCATTAGGTCGAAGAGACCGAACTCGTCCACGCAGCCCGCCGGGCATCGTGGCCTGGGACACCCTCCTCCGGGCGCGCGAGGGGGGAAAAAGCGAGAGGGGGGCGGGCCTTCCTCCTCATCCTCCCTCCTCCTCCCTCCCCTCCTCATCCTCCTCCTCCTCCTCCTCCTCCGCCTCCTCCTCATCCTCCTCCCTCCTCCTCCTCCTCTCCCCTCCCTCCGCCTCCTCCTCCTCCTCCTCCTCCTCCTCCTCCTCCTCCTCCTCCTCCTCCTCCTCCTCCAGAAGCCCTCTGTGGCTTCGGGGGAAGCTCGGAGAGCTTCTCAGAAGGCCGGAGGCCTTCCGAGCCATCCGATAATTTGCGGCCCGAGAACGTGTGGCGACGGACCGCGTGGTGACTTCGGAATCCCCGACGACATTGCCGCGCGGTCCGCCATCGCACGGTGTTGGGGGCCTCGGAGGCCCCAGTCGCCCGAGACGTCCCTCGGAGAACGAACCGGGCCCCAAAGCTTTGCGGTGACCCCGAGAAGAAGCCCGCCGCCCCCTCTGCCCAGAGGCCCCCTCCAGAACCAGGCGCACGCCAACGTGGATCATAGGGATCCGTGGATCTGGAGCGTTGGCGCCAGACCCCATGGACCAGAGAACGCGCCCCCTGAAATCGGCGCAAATGCCGCCCGATGTGGCGACGGGGCGCGCCAGTCCAGCCTGCAAAGGAGACCCGTCGCTCATCCGCGCGCCTTTCCAAACATCCAGCGGCCCCATGTTTTTGCTGTGTGGGCCCCGGAGGTTTGGGCCGGTGTGTCGTCCTGACTCGTGATTTAACGGTTCCGAGGCCCGGCGAT